TTTTTTTTTTTTTTTTCTTTTTGCTTTGGTCTTTCTGGAATATATAAATCAGGGGCTGAATATGGTGAGCTTGTAATCTGTACTGATGACCTAGATTTTTGCTGATGGGAATTGAACGGTCAACCGTTGTATCACAGTCAGAGGAGGAAGTTTATCTTCCTCAAATTTCAAGAAGTAGATGGTGGTCTGACTTTAGTACTTTTCGGTAGATGGTAAATGATCATACATTTACTATCACGACTTTCAAGAATCTTATCGGGACTTTAATCTGAGTTGGATTTTGTGTGTGACTAAGAAACTTGTATGAAATATGAACTTTTTCAGCAACATCTGCATGAACCATGATAGATAGACATAAATCAGTTTCATTTTGTTTCTCATACGAGTATTATTATCACATTATTTGATAGCTACTGAAACGTTTTAAAAATAATTCTGATGAGATTTTCTGTGGAGTAAATAATTTTTTTCTAAAATATATTATCCTTTTAAGATTGATAGAACTGTTTTAGGCATTTCAAAGAGCTAGAACAACTGTGATTGTTCTTCTAAAAATGAATTTTTCAACTTAGGTTGTGTACAACTTTTTACTTTTACCGCAACTATATTGTAGAGAAGCAAATTAAATATAGATCATTTTTGGTCCTTGGAAGATGCATTTATTGAAGTGCTACTTCGTATTAACTTATGTCAAATATTATCGCAACACAACTCTTAAATCGTATGAATAATGCATTTCATTGCAATGGTTAATAGCATCCTATAACTAAGACAGCTTTGGACATAGCATGATAAGTACATAGCTTATTATGCGATCATAATTGTAATATGAATATATAATTAGTTTGACGTGATCATCTTCCTAAAGTTTGGACGAAAATACGTAATATACCATCTTTTAGTTTATGCTAAAATTCTTATAGGCAATCCTCGGTTCGTTTTTTTATTTCTTTTTCTTTTCCTTATTCCACTTCCTGAAGGAATCCAAAACTTTCAAATCGTTGGTAAGTTGTTAGTTAACTGGAACTTTGAAGAATGATCCTTTCGTAATAAAACAAAATAATTATTGCTAAAAATCTCATGTTACCATGAAAATTCATGATACAATGATCACGAGTACATAATCTTGTTCACACTATAAACTTCGACCGGTCTCTAATTGAATCATTTCATGACTAATGCATTTTCGAAAGTATGATTAATGCAAACGATTCTCACTCAACGTATCCACTAATAATTAGCTTCATGTTTGATGTCATTGTGTTTAATAGTCCGTAACAATCTACCTAAAAAATGTAAAATGAAAACGAATTGAACGTTTATTAGAGAGTAAATAAGAGTATCTAAACAATTTGAAATGCAAGGTGAGAGTCTTCGAGTAGCAAGTTGGTTTGGCAATATTATCTGTTTCGTATGGTCTATGATAACTAGAGATCTGAGTAACTGGTAATAAAGGCGAATTGAGTTTCGCATGGATTAGCGTGCCACATTTATAGTACGACAAATACACTATGCACGTTGAGTTACTGTACATTTTGTTGGTGACGAGAACCCGAATCTGGTCAGGTGGGGCCCCCTAGTAGAAAGATGAATTTGATGATAGGCGAGGCCAAAAGGGTAATATTGGCCCAAATGTAGAACTTTGTATGTATCTAATGGAATTCAATAGCACATATTTAGAAACAGTAGGCATTTTATGATTTATATAGGTTTAACTATAAAAAAAATAATAATAATAATAAAAAAAAAAAAAACCAAAAAAAAACATAACAATAAAAAACTTACAGATTGCCTTGTGTTCGCTCGTTTTTCAGGTTTGACGTGGCATCTTTTCTGAGCTACAAAGTTCTTTACTCGGGGGAATTGGTAATATCATTTTGCCTTTGTTTTGTGTTATTTCACTTTTGAATCAGCCCCCCATTCCACTTCTCTTTTATCTATTTGTGCAGATTATTTGAGTTTATTTCATCAATTATAAATCTTCCAGTTAATGGGAACTCACTTAAAAAAAATGTCCTTTTTCGTGATGAACACAAATGGATCTTGACAATTTATATCGTTTTCATCTCAATAAGTAGAATTTTATTTCATATGAAAAGGTTGTGCGAGTGAGATTTTCGGGTTTCGGAAAAGATGAAGATGAATGGGTGAGCGTGAAGCGAGCCGTACGTGAGCGCTCGATTCCTTTAGAAAATTCAGAGTGCCACAAAGTCGATATTGGAGACCTTATGCTTTGCTACAGGGTAATTAATACGCCTACTCTTTATTCCTTTCTCCAATGGCCACTTTGCATTTTTTTCCATATTGTAGATGAAAAATAAAAAGGGCTTAGTATAATAATACTAATCTCCATTTTTGCGCAATATATTTTCAGGAAGCCGAGCACAATGCACTATACTGTGATGCGCGTGTTGTGGAAATCGAGAGGAAGCCACATGGCGGCAATCAATGCACGTGCATCTTTGTTGTTCGATATGAAGATGATTACAGTGAGGTTGTGTTTGCCTTGAATATATGTTTTATTCTTAAAAAATAAATTACGAAAAGCCACCCTCGAGTTTTCGCCTTACAAGAAAGGCAAAAAAAATCCAATTCTTGATTAGAACTTTTTGTACGTCATTATATATTACTCATTAGTAAGAGGAAATAAAAGGGGCCATTTATGATTAAGTGAAAATAATCAGTGTTTCATATTCATGACATTTTTTTTCACCTTTCTATATCTTCTTCAATACAGGGCAAGCTTTCGCTGGACAAGCTGTGTTGCAGGCCGGCAAAATCCGTGGCTTCAGAAATTGAAGACCAAAAGCCGGTCTTAATAGAGTCTTTAGAAGTTGACCAGATGTTGCTTTAGCTGGTGTTAGGCTGTGCTCTTATATAACCTCTTCGAATAAGTTTCCAAAAGGAAGTTCTGTATCGTATATTGACAGTATAAAAAACTCAATTGAGAATGTGAATTACTTGTTTACTGTACTGATTTACCCCCATCTGGAAGGAGGATATTAAAAGATTAGTGACTCTTTTACTGCTTCAAATGAAATGTCTAGATGAACAATGAAAAGTAGCAATTATTAAATGAAATGATGTAGAAAATTTTATGAAAATACTTAGATAAATGAACATATGTATATATATAATTTTATAGAATAGTATATCATTTTAAGTTGAAACATTTAGATTGAAATATATTGACCCTTTAGCTCTGACTATCATATTCATCAAGGTCAATTTAATCAGCCATTTTTCTGCATAACATCTGAGACCACAAAAACACACACACACACAGAGTATACAATTAAATATCATATTTCCATCAGGTGTCCAAACAGAACACCAACTTATAAAGGAAGTCTCAGGTCCCTAATAACATGCACATCTAAATAAAGCACCTGTCATATAAACTTAGCCTTCAACAGCAATGACAAAAAAAGATAAAAATAGAAGCAAAATCGTGCAAAATGAAGGTCCCATTCGCCAACCGAGCAATGCGCCCAATGGGCAAACATAATGATCTAACATTCCACCTCATGTACTTTCCCTACAAACTATAATAAAGTTAGCCTTGCTGCAAGTTAAAATTCACAAAAGCCGAACACATTTTCAGCTTCAATCCATCTTTTACTACTAAGAAAAATTTGGAAGTTACGCTCCGGCAAAAGCCCTAAGAAATTGTACGACCAAAGCAAAGAGACTCGAGGTATAGATTCTTTGCCCACTTCTCCTGTAATATCAAATAAACAAAAAAGGACTTGTTAATGCCTATGCCTGCAGTATATGAGTCGAGCGAGTAATAATACTAATACGAAGAAAAAAAAAAAAAAAAAAGGTTTTAAGACTTTTAGCTCTTATGATCTAACCTCGACATGTGTGCTGGGAAAGGTAGAAGTACGTAGTGTCTCCTGTGTTTCATCCACTGTTTTTTTGCTGGGCACACTTAAAACAAAAGCAGCCTGGTCATTAGTTGCTGCAGTAGCTGTTATCCGATACCCATTGTCCCACCATCTATGGATGCCCTCGCTTGGGTAAAGGAAATCCAGTTCCACTACCTATAAACATAATAATCAAAAACATCAGTAAATGTATAAATATATGTGTATTTGTGCCCATGTGAAGAAATAGATAATTCAATTCGAAAAAAAAAAGGGGGGAGAATTATCCATCGTATGAAAGAAAAAACCTGGTCAGAAAAGCCAGCTGTACGAGACATGACGACAACCCATCTTGACCTTGATGTTGCCATGGAGGTCACATACAAACCTTCTCTCCATTTTTTGTTTATCCACTTGAATGGAAACGAGTCGCTCACTTTGTAAGACTGCTGGGCATACTGTGTGCCTATAATGAATTTAACAATCTAAGTTGGTCAAGAGGAAAAAAAAACAAAAGTAAGTAGATCAACTTCAAGCTCAGTCCCACAAATTTACCTTTCGACATTACAACTAATGAACTACCATTTGCAGCTCCTCCAACAGCACTGATGTAATAATTCTTTTCCCACTGTTCCATTATCCATTCCTGTACGTCATATTTTTTAAAAAATGGACATATATTCAACAATTAATAAATTAAAAGCAGAAAAAAACTTGCAACCAGTGGGCAGTGGGCAATTACCCTGTGAAGAAATGAAGGTGACAGCTCATAAACTTGTCCTGTGAAGCCAGTTCCGGCATCCATTATTAGCGCCCAAAGATTTTGGCAAGATGCCACACAACTTATGAACATACCATCTTCATTTCCCTTCTCAATGTGCTGGGAAAGTCTCGCATCCGTCACATTATAGTGATATCTACAACACAGTAACACATCACAAATCAGTAAAATCATGTGTTTTGACGGAGCAAATATACTATATTAGTTCCGAGGGGCCGGATAAAGTTTTAAGCAGTTGAAAAGACACTCATACCTTTGCTTTATTGGTCTTCGAGCATTATAAATGCTAATCCACTGAGTGGCAGGCATTCCCATACGAACCTTCTTCTTAGGTTGTTCATCATCATCCTCATCAAGATTCACACGTCCTCTCTTGTGACCAACCTGACAGATAAGCTACATTTTCACAACAAAAAGTTAGAGACAGAGGTAAACCACATTTCAGGAACATCACCTGAGAGCTGCATCAAAACGATAAAGTAAAAACTTATATGCACCTTCTGTGCACCCTCAGTGTTGATGGGCCTGATATCTGGATTTGGTCCGACTATCCCATCAAAGAATGAGATATACTTAGAATAATTAGGCTCCTCGTCAAACTTCAGATTCACCACGTGTTCAACAAAAGCCTTAAAAGGTTGTGGGCAAAAGCAGCAAAGTCCCTCGGGTGATGTTGCCATTTTCCTCTTGCAAACAAGAAATCCTTTGTTCTCACCCTATGCCAAAAAAAAAAAAAAAAAAAAAAAAGTGAATTTGTAATTAGTTGAGGTCTTCATGCAAAGCTGAGACTATTATTGAACCCTGTAGTTCAAACTTCAAATCACAAACCTGGTACCCTTGCCAAACCAGGCGTCCACGCAAAAGGAAAATAAGTGTATAAGCAAGGGATTCCAAATCATCTCTTCTGCTACCAGTTCTGCCTAAATGAGCATGCACACTGGCATAGCGAACAGTTCCTCTGAAGTCCAAAATAA